CTATTCCGAATTTCCCTACCTTCCGCTCACCGTTTTTTCTTGCGCCTAGTTTTGCGTTGAAGTCTCACAATAACACCGTATACGAGGAAAATTTCGGGAATCAAGGAAGTGACACAACATTACTATTTAAAAATGTATTTATTGCTTTTCGAAGTATTCTCCGCGAAATTTGGCACAATTTTCCATACGATGGAACCAGTCATTGAAGAAACCATTCCATTCGGAAGTTGGGGTCTCCAAAATGGCTGTTTTGTAGGCGTCCACAGCTTCTTCAGGTGATGAAAATCTCTGTCCACGCAATTTATTCTTTATTTTAGGGAAAGTATAGAAATCATTAGGGCTTAGGTTGGGGCTGTACGGCGGATGGTCTAATAATTCTATGTTTTCTTGCTCTAAAAACTCTTTTGTTCTGTGTGCGGTGTGAGAACTCGCATTGTCGTGATGGAGGATGATGTGGCGGTGTCAGTTCTCTTTACGGAGTTCAGAAACGATCTGTGGCAAACAAATGCTAGCATACCATTCTGCATTAACCGTTCTTTGTCTCTCAAGAGGAATAGTTGTAACATGGCCGGTTTTGGAGACAAACGTGGCCATGATTTTTTTTGCAACACTCCGTGAACGAACAATTTTCGTTGGCTTTAACTCATTTTCGAACACCCAAACTCGTGACTAGTTTTTTGTTTCGGGTTCGTACGCGTATATCCAGGATTCGTCACCTGATATGATGTTGTATACAGCATTTGAGGATCCTGCGTGGAATCTTTCGAGAGTTCTGACGCACCAAGTAACGCGAGCCGCTTTTTGCTCTTCACAGAGCGAATGCGATATCCATCGGAAAAACAACTTTTTTACACCTAATTGTTCATGCAAAATTATTTGTATTTGACTCATGCCAATGTCTAAAGTTGCCTGAATTTCGCGGTATGTCACATGTCGATCTTCCTTAATCAGCTTACGCACAGCATCAACGTTTTCTTGGGTGACTGCAGTTTTTGGACGACCTTGACGGGGATCATAACTGAGCTTGACACGTCCACGTTGAAATTCAGCAAACCAAAAAAAACAAAGATAAATTGTGGTTTTGGATGGGCTTCATCACCAAATGCAGAAATCATCCGGTCAACACACTGTTGTGTTAAACTACTTCGAAAGTCATAATAAATCATCGCTCTTGAATTTTCTCGAGTCAATTCCATTTTCTCAACGACTAAACAAGTTTGACAAAACCTTGTGACAAGACCGAGAATCTTTTTTTAAATAAATAAATGATATTCAATTTTAAAAAACCAAGGACTTTTCAATTAAAAAGATTTTAATATGACAGGAACAGTGGAAATATTCCATTCCCGATACTTTTAGTGCAGCCTATGTAGTTAGTTTTGTATTCTTCATCAAACACTAATTGTTTAAGGATGTCGGTTCATTTACTAATTGCCTAAATCTTGTGGCCTGTCGAAAAACATTTAGCTTTTACATGAAGTATTTTTTATGCGTCGTCGGTTTTAATTTAAGTTTAAAATGAAATTAAGCAAATCTGTCAGAATCAAACACAAGCGCAGGGAAGACAGCGTCCCAGTATTCTACGGAGTGTATGCGCAGGAACAGGAATCACAAAATTTTATTCCTTCTTCCCATTTCCACTATCGAACAACCGGATCGGATGGCGGCGGGTCCCCACGTGATATTCATTATCATACTCATTCAAACTAAATGGTTTTCATCACGTTTATATGTGTACGATAGTATAAAATACTAAAACACTAACATTTTTTCCAAAATCTATGAAGCAAAAAATAAAGTGAACATTCCCTGTTCCGAAGATGTAAATTTTTCAATGATCTGTGAAATGGAACAGAATTCAAAACTTTTGAAGGAACAAAATTCTCCAAGATTTCTGTGCAAAAGTGAATAGATTTTATAATATCTTTAGGAACTTCTTTATATCTATACTTCCTTTGTATATCTTGAGACAAAATTTTAATGGTATTTTTCGAAACGAAACTTACCTACTCATTTAAAACTTAAAATGTTTTGGTAAATATAAAAAAAAATAGTATCTTTCTGTATTTCTGTAGTATAGTATATATTTCATATATTATAATCAATAAAATATTACGTGAAGGGAAACCTTTATACCCTTAGTTTAAGCAACATGCGCGCACGCGAGCGTCTTTAATTTTTGCCGTTGTACTGCTTGTAATGACTCAGTAAGTACAAGCAGAAAATATGTACGTATTTACATACATTGTACGCTATTACTCCTAGGCCAATGTTAAATACGTCATCGCACAGAGTAGAGATTGTCGCTAAAGACTTGAAATATTGCCAACAAATTACTAATAGATTGACTGAATCAGTCAATATGAATTTTGTTTAATTTCTAATGTTACTTTTTCAGAAGTTTGTAGTGTGTATTTCAAGGCAAATAAGCATTTATTTTATATTTTGTATTTTGTATACTTATTAGATATCTGCGTTTTCAAACCATATCAACACATCGTGTACAAACCTAAATATTTAATGAATTACGGTCCAATTGCGACCACTAGGCGACACTAAGGTTAAACCACAGAATAAATAATAGTACAAGAAGTTAAACTTAATCTAAGAGCAAAAATTCATCCAATTCCGTTCAGCTGTTTATTGATTATATGGCAATCATCCAAACATTGTCACAAACTTTCATATGAAGTGTAAGGACCTTTTTGATGAAACTGAAAGTAGTATCACATGAGAGATTTACGGCTGCAACACAAATGGGTCAGCTCGACCAGGGAACGACAGCGTAAAATATGCTCAAGAGTAAGCTTGTCTTTACACTGTGCTTGTGCAATGGATCAAGCTTAGAATTTATTTATTTAATGAATTATTTGCTAATAATGTACTTAATTTAATGTATTTTTATTAATTGAAAAAAAAAGACGAAGAAATATAAACAGATCAAGCTAGTTGCTTGATACAAATAGTGTTTAAATAGGATGGCATAGAAATAAGGAAATTGGAACGAACTAACTCGAAGCGTGTCCTTAGTTCTTTAGATGACCTCTACGATGTTTAGGTGAAAGTCCATAGTAATTTCTCCGGAATTGTCCTTGTTTTCTAGTTTGATGGTCGCTTGTAGAAAAATTGTTTAAATAAAAGAAAATGGCGGACAGTATTCGCGTAGCTTCTTTGTGCCATTTATCTTTTATTTGCGGAAGGCTCATTTGTTCTTGCGTTAGGTGAATGAGCATAATAATTAAAACTATAGGTCGCTTATAAAAGGATATAATGAATATAAAATGTACTTGTAAGGGGGCTGCTGGGCCTATGCAAAACGGTTCTGGTGAAACAGAAACAGAAACAGAAACTTTTTATTCAATATAGATTATAAATAATACTTTTTGAAAGTCACTCTTTTGAATAATTACCATTGGTTCGAAAAAAAAACTCTGTCCTGGGAAGAACCAGTAAGAAACCCAGCGGGACTTTTTTTTAAATAACAACACTACATTATGCTCCAGTGATTCATATGGTGAGTTTAATGAATCGGAGACCATTTTAAATGGAAACGAGGCATTCCATTTTAGTCCTCAGGACTGACAACGCATCTACAGTTACATTCTTAATCGAGGACAGATGTAGGTGTCTACGGGCCACAGTCTCTACTTACCATCATGTGAATTGTATGCTCATCGTTGTCACTCTTCTACTATAAAAAAAGTTAAGAGCGACCCACTATTACACAAAATTTACGACCTGTTAAGAAACACACAAGTTTTATAGTCCTTCTTCCAAATAGACTATTTAACTACATTGGATAGCCTCCTTAAAGAGCTAACTCCATTATATTCACATATAGTACTTATGGGCAACTATGACTATGACTTTAATACTTGCCTTCTTAAAAGTGATATCTGATACCTTCGGCTTGAGTCCCTTATTTTTTTTCCTAACTGTATCCTCTATCTCCTTGATTTGTTTATCGTTTCTTCTCTCGGCCATGTTGATAAATTTCATCAATTTTCTACTAATGCCTTTTTCTATCATGATTTCCTGTTTTTATCTTACAAAATAAGATCACACAAAGCCAAATCAACGATACTACTGCTGCGTAATTTTGTGGAAATGAATTTGGACAGGTTACGAAAGGATGCTGCTAAAATGGATTGGAGTGTTGTAACAAAGGCTTGCACTGTTGGCGAATAGGTAGCCCAGTTAAATTCACTTCTTGTTAAACATTATGATGAACATCCTCCTGTTCGTCCAACTTGAATATGACTCTTCGGAGTTATTGTAGAACAGCGTGCTCACTCCAACTGTGGCCAGTTTTATTCAGTCACTGTGACGTAACCGTGGTACGTAAAGCTCGTTGTCTTGCGATCTTTGTCTAGACAATGAAACGATACGATACAGTGAAACAATTATTTCACGACTTTCATAAAAATGGAACAGGAACTAAGTAGTCTAGTAAAACACACGACGTTATTTTTAGAGCGCACGCTGAAAAAATTCAGCTCATTAAATAAAAAATAGTAGTATTGAAGGAGTCTAGGTTTACCTACTACCTAGGGTTTACCGCTTAGGCCAAAATCAGCTCTTACATATATATTTACAGTACAGAGTGTTTTCCAGGATTTTAATATTTTTTTTCTCTACTGCATTTCTTAGTAATAAAAAGTGACACGTGAATTTATAATTCGCCTGATGCACAATTCACTGAATCGCTGCGCCACGCCGTCGGCAGCAAGCCTACGGCGTAAGCCATTGAGACAACGCGGACTGTCACCCGATTGTACTTGGATTCTATGGAATGTCTTGTGAAGACACATCTGCAAAGCTGCTGACGTGTCGTCACAAATAAAACAGAAAAAGTATAACTGGCATTAAAACTTTTTTGTCTTTAACAATAAAATATAAATATTTAACGTAAAGTGTACAAAAATTCGTTACACATATTATTAGTTATTTCATTACTATTCTCCCTTTTACTCTTCTTTCAAAATTGATATTCATTAGCTTTATAGTTCAGTTTTGTTTCTTGGTGTTGGAGGAGGGGGTGCGGTTGGCATTGCATAATATTCCTCATAAATAGCATCCCAAAAAAGAAAGCGTTGCTGTATCAGAGGTCCGCGCAGTTTCATTGTCTTATCGAGAGACATATGAGGACCACCGTTTGCGTCAGTTGGCGGCCACAATGGAATGTCTGAACCCTCTGGAACCGGTTTTCTGCAATAATCAGAATGACATGAGGTTATTTTTTATACATTCAAAATTATTTTTTTTTTAAATAGTATTATATTTATTTCGAAGCAGTAAAAACTACTTTTAAGCATTTTTTTTAATAAATGGTCAGCCTTTCGCACGGGGTGGAGTCACAAGAAATTCCTTCACTCTATCTCGTCCCATAGGTATCGAAAGTAAGGTATTGTGACATCCAACAAATGGCTTATTTATACTGAATGCAAAATATCTAAAGCAGCGGCGGGAAGCAACGTCAAATATGTAAGTTGTTTAGAAAATCCACTGTAAAAGGGAAGAGCCCGAAGTCCAGCAATTGAATGTTTATAGAATTATGAAGCGGAAGAGAAAATAATAGAAAAAGCTCTTCAAAGTTTGAAAGTAAATTTTAATATCTACGAAATAAGTAGTACTTATTTTAGTATCACTTAGTGTAAAAATATCTAATGTATGAATTTCACGATAAGATGCTCAAAAATATTTTTATACGTGGTAGAGCCATGTTGCAGCTATACTAGTAGTATAATTGTAGCACGAATGGTTCGGTTCAACCGGGGAAGGACCACGCTCTCACAGAAAACCAACGTAAAATAGCTATATAGCATGGTGAGTGTAGAGAACGGGAGACCCTTTTTACTGGAAAAGAGGCATTTCATCTTAGTCCTCATGGCTGACAACGCATCTGCATTTTGATTCACAGACGAGGATAGATGTAGATGTCTATGGGCCACAGCAGCTACTTACCATCAGATGGACTGTGTGCTTATTTGTCACCCTAACCTATAAAAAATTATCCATTGAAGATATAGAAACTCGATCATAATACCTCCATACCCAAACCCAGCATTAACCACAACTTAGCAATAAATTATGCCGACTCCTAAGCCAATATATTTAATAATAATGGTTTTCGGGTGGCAGCTCTATAGCGATAAGTGCAGAATTGGGCTACCCAACACTAGATTGGGTGAGAATCTGCACTCCTATACATGCAGGGAGTCGATGAATACAGATGGTGGCTCGGGACATTTTTGACAATCTGTAAGCGAGGCCTATGTTCAACAGCGGATTATTCATGGGCTGAAGAGATGTATGATTATGATATTTTAAAATTATTTTACCCTGTTGTAATAAAGTTGTACCATAATTTTCTCATCAACTGCTTCATGTTTATAAAATCTCTTGTTTCAAATTGCGTATTTAGGAAATGTCCATCTCCCACAGCCATTGATTGAGCACAGTGGTTAGCACCACGCACATTTGTGTAGGGCACTAACGGAACGTTATCATCCACAAAGGAATATTCATATAAATATATATCGCTGTTTCCGGATTCCACTTGCAACTGAACAGACTTTAGTGTGCCATACGCAAATATAACATCAGTAAAATAATCGATATATCTAAATACAGTTTCCTTGCTAACCGGTTTTTTACCAAAATAAAACTCTTTGACTCTCTTCGCTACTTCTTCTTTTTCTTCTGAATTTGAAAATTTAAGGTCACCAGGTAAGAAATCGGAGAATTTTTCATTCATTTTACTATACCACGTATCAAAAAGCGGCATTCTAAACAGTCCTTCCATTTCAGCAAATCCAAATAACACTGGAACTTTATGATTGCGGCCACTTTTCAAAACATTAATTGGAGCATCATCGAGAAACCTTTCCCTGCCAAGTTCTCGTTCAACACAAGGTACAAAGAGAAACGTAGAATCAGGCTCGTTTAAGATTTGATCAATGGAATTTAATGTATCATATGAAGCTGATTTATAAAAATTTTCTAAATCATACACATCTTTGTTCTTATTAGTAAAATTAAGCATCTTCGCATATTTCCAAGCATTTTCCACTGGGTCCGTTTGAACACTAAAGACAGAGAGACTTGCTCCACTTTCGGGTATAACCTTATTGAAAAGACCTTTGGTCATCGGCGAAACAAGATGAAGATCAACCGAAGATGAACCTGCACTAAATCCATTAATTGTAATATCATCAGGATTTCCGCCAAAACTGGCAATATTTTCTTTCACCCAGCGAAACAATGCGACTTGGTCTTTCATGCCAGCATTACCGGGTACATCTTCTGTGCCTAGGCATAGAAAACCATGTGCACCGAGACGGTAATTAAAGTTAACTACAATCATATTATTTTCTTTAATGAATTGTTTTGCAGTCATTAATTCGCCATATCCCAGTTGATATGCCCCTCCGTGAACATGCATAACCACTGGTAAATCCTTTTCATCCGTATCAGGCACATATATATTGGCGATTAGACAGTCTTCCTGTTGTTTAAGTTCTAATCCCAAAGACATAAATACCAATTGTGGACAAATTACATCTTTATTGATGGCCTCGAATGGTTCCGTCCAATGCGGCGGAGGAAGCGGTGCCTATAATAAAAGTTATTTTTTTTAATATGTGTGAAAATCTTAAAATTGCACCTCGATTACTTACATTAATAAAAAAGGCAGGTAGACAGATATACGGTAAACCAGCAGATAATCGCAAAAAGTTCATCAAATTGCCTTAATTACTCTGTTAAAATAGAGACTTAAAGACATATATTTTAAAAGGGATCATCCGATGGGTGGATGGAAACTTATTATAAAATTTTATTTATAAATTTGCATTAGACAATTGTATTTGAGATATCACAAAAAACCACACACCATATAAAAATTTACATTAACACTTTTCTATATATAGATTAAGGTATATAAATCTAAATCTAAAAATAATTAATAATATAAATTAGAATTTCTGGATATTCAATTAGAACGGTTTGTTTCTTTATATTAATAATGAATACAATTTGATGTAGATGAGTAGCGTCATAACATTTTATCGGCAGAATAGCACTCCTAACTCCCGACTCAATATCGCGAGCGAGTTGCGCGAGATTGATCCATCAATTATGCCAATTATTATTAATTTTAAATTCCAAAGTTCAAATTTTGACATATGGTCACGTTTTACCAGTCGGTTGCTATGTCCAAGAGGAATCGGCGCAGAGTACCGAAAATTATTCCACCTCAATGTTTTAATGCAATTGTCTCTGAATTGTCCTACTGATGATATAAATGCATGTTGCCATGAAGTGAAGTTTTTTTTTCAATTACAAAGGTTGGTTGGTAACTGGACAATTTTTTTATATTTATTAATAAAATAGAAATAAAAAAGGTTCTATAACTATTTACGATAAAATTAATATTTTCGGAGTTATGAATTTTTAAAGGTTTGGAAAATCCTAAATTCGGATACATATTTTGCCTGATTGAAAATATATAGAGAAAAATAATAAAATATGAAAGATATTTTTTATATTCTTTTCTTTTTTATATATTTTTTAAATATTTCTTGGTATATTTTTAATCGTATCGTATCAGAAAATATAAAGAAAACATTTTTTTATATATTATTCTTTTCCTTTACATATTTTTAATGAGTCAAAAGTAATTGAATTTGGGATTTTTCAAACATTAAAAAGTTCATACATCCGAAAATATTAACTTTATGGTTAAATGTCTCTCTGTCTTTATGGTTAAAGCTCTTTTTTAGTTGTATTTTATCAAAATATATAAAAAATAGCATTTATATTTATTCTTTTTCTTTATGTATTTTTAATGAGTCAAAGGTATCCGAATTTGAGGTTCTTTAAACCTTTAAAAATTCATAACTCCAAAAATATTAACTTTATCTTAAAAAGTCGTAGGACCTTTTTATTCGTATTTTATTAAGGAATGTAAAAAAATTCCCATTTGCAAATAAAAATTCCTTGCAACCGAAAAAAAAATCAGTTTAAACAAAATGGCACCGAGTTGCCCCATGCCAACATACTTTTATCATCAGTAGGACAATTTGAAGAGAATCGCATAAAAAAATTGAGGTGGAATAGTTTTCGGTACTCCTGCGCCGATTCTACCTGGACTAATGGTTTTAAGGAAGATGTCTGTGCGAACGAGAAAAAATAATGATTCCATGCCCAATTATGTAATCAGATCCTGATTAAGTTTATATCACAATCAGTGGTTTTTAAAACAATTTCCCGAATGAGTGGCAAACTAACCGTATTTACAAATGATAATCTGCACCTGATTATCATTTATAAATATGGTTAGTTTACTTATTTTCCTATTTTATATTTCAGATTTCCATGTTAATTACTTCTTACTGGAAAGTTTATAATGCGGATTACTTATTTGGACTACAAATAATTTTTTGTAGATGTTTGTTCATGTGCAATTTATATTTATAAAACGCTTCCATTAAACAAAAAAGAACTAAGAAATGAAAAATACTTATTATATTTATTTACTTAAGTAAAGCTATTAAAAAAAAACTAAAATCTAAAATATTATGTCGATCACACAGTCATTACGTATTGTCCAATGGTGTATTTAGTTATTTATCAGAAACAATCTGCGATTTATACACGGACGAAATGAATATTTACTGGTATTAGTAATTATTTATTATTTATTACCTTAAATTTGTCATCCCCCGTAGGTGCAGTTGCGTACGGTATGCCATAAAAGGCAAACAAAGTATCATTTTGTTCCTTATACCCTCGCACCGGCCCCTGGGCTATATTTACTAGCCTCGCCTCGCGGGCTTGCGCTCCCGTAATCACCGAAATGAAACATAATAAAACTACACACTTCCACATTGCGTCATGCTATACTGCCGGTGTCGGAGTTACGAATGTTTAACGCATCATATTGCCTACACTCACGTTACATAATACTTATCAGCTTATCACGATGACTTCGCAGTTTTTTTTAAGCAGGATTTTATTACTAACAATGAAATTGCAGTATTCATTGATTGGAGTGGTCACATTGAATTAATATAAAACCTTCATGGTCCAGGATCCGTGATTAAAGCTTATTTTACACAAAAATCTGAATGCAAAAACTATGAAGAATTTTTTAATATTAATGGCAATATGGTGCCTTATACCATAGAATCAATAATAGGTGATGGAGCTTGCTTATCTATACATATAATAAATCTGTAATAAAGTTTTGTCTGTAATTCCAATATACTCTTTAAAAAAAATCCAGAGGACTAAATAAAGGGTAGATAAATGAAGCCAAATTAGCGATTTTTAGATTTTTTGCCTGTTTGTCTGTCTATCTGTTTGTGTATTACCGATTCACGCAAAAACTACTGGACCGATTTCCATTAAATTTTATATGTAGTTAATTAGTAACCCACTTAAATTCCGTAATCGGACATAAAGTAGCCTTTTTATCCGATTACGGAACTTAAAAAAGAAGGTTAAATATTTGTCTTCCTTTAGATGTAAATTTTTTACTATATATGATTATGTTATTATTAATTTTTTTTTATAAGATAGGGTGACACACGAGCACACAGTCCACCTGATGGTAAGTGGTTGCTGTGGCCCATAGACATCTGCATTTATTCTCGTTTGCGAATCAAAATGCAGATGCGTTGTCACCCGTGAGAACTAAGATAGAATGCCTCTATTCCAGTAAAAAGGGTCTCCGGTTCTCTACACTCACCATACGAAACACAGCAGCAAGCTGCTATTTGACGCTGGTATTCTGTGAGAGCGTGGTCCTTCCCCGGTCGAGCCGACCCATTCGTGCTACAACTATACTACTAATATAGTTGCAGCATGGCTCTACCACGTACAAAAAATTATGTTAGTTAACAGGCGGGATGATGGGTGTTTTTTCAAATAAATATCATATCATATTTGTAAAGTTTATAATTAGTTTAACCTTTGCATAACAATTTGAAACTCCGCTGACGATATACGTTTTAATTATCAAAACAGCGCCATCTATCATCAAATGAAAAAAGCCTGCCTGCTTGCCTTTAGTAACTAATAAATTAAATAATATAAATAATCTACATTTATACGTGTAAATCATAACATTTAATAAATTATTTAAAAATCCAATCGTTTAATTTAATCGTTATTTCCTTTTAAAAGTGTAATAGTTAAAATTTAAAAAATAATAGATAATATTTACATCTATTAAACGTATGTTTTTTTTTTTAACTAAAAAACATATTAATTTTCAATCGTTTAATACTATATATGTATGTAAACTGATTAAAACTGGTCTGCCTGCAATAAATGCAAAATTCTCATTAAATCATTATGTCATGAAATGGTGTCCTTTCATTATATTTGTCACTGTTTGTTGACCATGTCATGATATAGCTTAGTCAAATCAATGAATAAACATAACATTGCTATTTCATGATAATATGGTCATATCGTCAAATAGTTTTTCATCGCTAGCTACGCTGATAGCTTGTTTTTTCTAACAGAAACAGATTTTCAACAGAATCAACATCAGTTTTTCTTTTTTATAGTTTTGACTTTCATTATTTTAATGTAATATAGCGCACTCTACTTTCTGCTAAATAAACTAATGATAAGTAACTGATAAAATTAAATTTTTGAATGCTATTGAATACTTATTCGTGCAGCATCAAAAGTTGTCACACTTAAAATTGTCTAGACCGGTGCCCATTATCGAGGTGATTTACCACAATTACCATGGTTGGCAAAATGGCTAACGACACTATTATACACAACACGTGTTTTTTGTGTGCACAGTATCCAGTACTGTGTACACAAAACTGAGAAAAGAGAAGCTCTTTAGTTGAATATATTGGGTGTCTATCGGCATAGGTTTCATTTTACCAACTTCATATGTTATCACGTAACCTGATGTAAATAATTGAAAATTAAATGCACTTTGAGATTTTACCTCTATTTGATGGAATAGTTCGTGGCATCGTTGGGTTTCCAATTACTAGGTAGATATAGTCGAAAATCGTACAAAATAAATACGAAAGCCGAGTGGCTCGCCGTGAGATTTCATCGTGGCATGGGAGCAAAACGTGTACGAGTCCTTTGAGGAGAAATGAATCTGTTATGGGAAATTTTAAGTGCTGACTTACCACATATCCGGTGAAGTGGTGAGGAATAACTTCGTGGGAAAACCTAAATGTATGTGTAGTTACAAAAGTCGTGGAAATGTGAAAGCAGTTAATGCGCATTGAAGCATTGCGGCATACTCTTTTCTGCCCACAAAACACTATAGATAATGAAGAGCCCTGTGCACATTAAGACGTATTGTAACGAACCCCCCCCCCCCCCATCTTTTTTCTTTTCTACTATATCCCACTTATACTTGTATTTCTTTAGAATCTATATCTGTAAGATATATAAATACATCTAATTTAATGACCCTTGATCTTTCTAAAGGTTTAAATATAGGCCGTTTAATAAATTTATGGCGTGATCGTCTTAGTTAGGACCCTTTTTTACGTTGTGTTTGTATAGTAACTTAGTTCTTTTAGGTGTATCTTGGAAGAATGAATATTCACGAGAGCAATCGAAAGCTGTTGGTAGAGTCTTATAAGCTAAAGAACCCCGTTCACGAAGACAGAGCTCGAAAAGGTTAAGAACAATAAATTGTCCCTATTCCACTTGTATCTGGTTCACAACAGTCAATTCCTTATTAATTAATCCCTTCCCGCTTGGAAAAGGCTCACAATATTTATATCAAATACCAGTTACAAGGGCTTCGCTCTCCCACATTTTAAAAAAAAAATGTGGAGGAGGTACACGGCCCCACACACGCCGCGCACGGTGAGCGCCAACCATTTTAATGCGCTCCCCCCGAAGGGTACGCAAAGTTGGGAACTGGACCGTAGTCCACAGCAAAATAACTGGCGAACCAGTAAAAGAGGACTTGGCCCCTTGATAGTGCGTAAGCACAAACATCGACCGAAGTCGCGCATGTCAATGCGTGTAAACGCCATACAGAATACGATCAAATCCAGCCACAGTGAAATGTACGTCACACGGGTTAGGCAACAATCGGCACACTGACCATAAAAAGCCCTCCGTGAGCGCCACCACCTGCCAGACCGCCGTTTCTGCAGACGTGATGTAAGTGTAAGGCATCACCACCAATTGCATGGTCAGCACGGCCAATTGGCCGCAGAGCGTGTCATGAGTCTACCGCTCACCTCAAGGGAATGGGGTCCCACGTTGCGCGGCTTTCGGCCGCAGCCTTGAGAGCCTCCTCAGATTCTCCCTCCAGCTACCACCCGCATGAGGTCAACACATATGCTCCACCAACCAATACAATGGCAGATATAGCCAATAGGCAGTTATAAGATAATATTAATAATTCGCCATCAGAAAGGGTTTGTGTCACTGACGTTGAGTATATGCATTTTTCGATCATGTTTGTCTCACCCACCAACAAGTTGCCTTCAATCTCTCAAAGGTGGGAACTTTATAGAGATATATTATTAAGTTGTTATATAAAACATCATGGAGGGCAGACAGTCTGCAGCCCCGCAATGAAGGGACCCGACTTGGGCAAAGCTACTTAGGTTGTGAGTCAAACCAAGACGCAGAGAGCGCCATTGAGAATAGCGACCCGCCAAACAACCATCGTAGAGACGCAATGCTACAGAATGCAACAAGCATCAATACGACTATCGTCGGGCTTACACCATCCCAAGGTCCCCCATACAGTCCCAGCAGACATCACCACCCGCATACCTCCATCGACCAGAACCACAAGATGCATCGAATCAGGTGCAGCACACCCGCAGATCCATCACAAGACACAATACTGCAAGTAGCAGTAAGCATCAATGCAACTATCATACGGATGGCGCCCCCTCACAACACACCCACATGATCCCTATCGACTTTGGTAACAAAATTTGATAATGTTGTTAACTAAAAATACCACCAACGTATCATAGTAGTACGGTACTAAGACGTAAGTAGCCAAAACTCCACGTATCATAGCGCTATTGCACTAAGACATGAAGTTGAGTATGCTTGCTGCACTTAAAAGTACTACCAAACACACTCACCCTAATCCGAAAGATAGCCGACGTATCATAACGCTATGCGCTAAGACGACGCCCACAACCGGTAGGGGTGTGCGATGTTCACGGGCAAGTCGTATTGCTACAACAAACCCGCTTACCACCGGCACTAAGATGATATGTCTAGGACACATCGGTTAGTGAGTCCAAGTTTACCTCGGTCTCAGAGGCTGCGAAGCAACCTACACGCCACTATAATAATCCTTTTCAAGTCCCATTTCTTTCAATATAATGCTTTTACATATTTGAGACCTTCCACATATTTGCTTTATTTCATAGACCATACTACTGTATGTCTTATTCATATGGGACTTCAAGTCATAACTCTGCTATCATAATGCTTATGCATCATAGAGACCTTCTATATTAATGCTTTGGTTCGTCAGACCTTACTATGTTAAGTCCCTAATATAGGACTAGTCATTGTGCAACCTTAGTACTAGCAGTCGGTCAGCCGACCACCCCATATATATGTACAACCTTGGGTATGTGTCTCCGACAACGCCCCAATATAAGGGAACATTACAAGAACACGTTCATTAACTTAGAAATTTTCCAATTATTACACGAACACCTTCATCAACTTGGAAAATTTTAATCCATTTTTTCTATTATATTACAAATGTTATTTATCTTTGTTATTGCAATATAATCGCCTTGTATTTATATGATTTGATACATTTTGAACATTTTAAGCAGGTTTTTAATAAATTTAGAGATTTTTAGAGACATTTTATGCGTTTACTAATATATATAATA